TGAATAATACTAAAAAAGTGAGTTGACTAGCTCTGTAGTTCCCACAGTCGGGATAGGGCGCAGGGAGTTGGCGTGGCCGTGGCCATGGGAGACAGACAAACAAAGACTAGGCAGACGCGCGGAGCGACTCTCCCCGTCAATTGGCAACCTTCCAAACCCACGGCGTTTAGCGCACCGTAAAAGGTTCAGGCGCGTCAGATTATTCACAGGGAGGGAGTTGCGCTGAGCCATTGATCCCGCTCTACATTTCCATTCGCAGACTCCAGTAATTGTCCGTTGAGGAGAATGTGTGCAGTGGTTCCTGTGTGTACTCAGACTGCCGCCATTTAAGGCCTCGACAAGTAAATTCATCCCAACCAAATTTCTTACGGAATTCGTGTTTAATACGCGGAGGAACATAAATAAAAGCCGTTTGTAATTGTTTTACTTAACTAAAAATCGTAGGTGAAAAGGAAGCCTGCTGACCAAAAAAATATCATAGCAACCCTATCGGTTAATAAAAGAAACATCTAGACCAAGAAAATGACTAGAGCAAGTCCTTTAACTATTAAGAAACCTACTGGTTAATAAAGGAAGCTTATTCCCATTAGGCGGCCCCACAAGAAAGCCCGGTAGGAGTACCTCGTGAGGCCACCTGGGGGGCGCGCCCCTCGGTCTTACGGGCTCCTTATTTTAGGGGAGAGGACGGGCGGGCCATGCCAGGGAACAAATTAGATCGCAATAATCTTGTAAAATAAAAAAAGTTGCGAGGTAAGTTGGGGCGCGTGCTCAAACCACGGGCGGGGACACTGAAGTACGCTTAATTATCATCGCTAACCCCCACCCACCGGACCAACGGCAAGCGCGTGTATGTTGGGGAGTGTGCCCTAACCTCGGGCGAGGTCACTGGTATACGATTTCCAGCTGTACTACCAACCTCAACTAGAATAAAGGCGAACGAGTGAAGAAGGTTGAAGATTGTGGAAATTCACCCAACTTAAAATTTGTAAGTAGGCGATTATTCCTGTGGTTAATTTGAAAAGCCGTGTTTGCCTAGTATACTGATTTAAGCGGTTGTTGTATGCGGTTGGCTTCCAAATACCACTCTGCAGTTCGATTCCATCATCCAATCCCTGCTGGATCGACGGCTGGCGTGCAGGAAACTGGAAGATTGTGGGTAGTTAAACCTACTTAAAATTTGTAAGTAGGTAGTTATAATACATTAGGACTCTTCTGCGACCCCAATAGATACTCATACGGAAAGTCCTACCGAAAAATGTTTTGGACGAGCAAATGACGCGAGCCACAGAACGAAGGAAGGTTAAAGGCCACTTACCCTCGAAGAGACATGGACTTTCCCAGGGAGACAATGCGAGTAAGATTTTCGACTACGACGGTTGCTCGCGACCAGGTCGAGCCGCGTTGGGTGACAAGGACATGGCTGAGAGCCCAGATGGCTGCTTGAATCGAAGAAGTCGTCGGTGCCGAAGACTGGTCGGAGGGTGTAGCCTCTCTGCAGAAGGCAATGTAGGTGGATAGGATATTGACCATTTCCTGGAAAACGCAAAACGAAAAAAACTATGAAGGTGTGCAAAAACTTGAATTTTGAAGTCGTTAGGCCTCTCGTCTTTTTGTCTGGAAGAACACACTGTGCGAATTATCATTTAATCCAACCCATTTCTAATCGTTGTGGCAAGTCGCTAGTGATGTTTATTCACCGTAGTTTTCTTTTATAACAGCACTCATTCTTTAAGTTTCGCGAAACGCACTCAAAAAAATCACGAATGCCTTTGGTGGGCTAGTGAACGGCGGAAAATAGAATCGGTCCAGAAGGTCTTTACTGAAAGAGCTTTTTCTTCAGAACGCCGTGAACTGTCTTACTTAAAACGTTGTGGGCCTAGGAACCTTGGTCCTCGTTGATGAACATTCACCTGACAGCTAAGGGGACTCATCTGTCCCCCTCTGTCTCCCTTCACCAGAGGCCCTGACAGCTGTAACAGCTGGTAGTATTGTCGGCAAAGACAAGGGAGACTGGAATGGCCATTTCTGGCACAGAAGCATTTCCTACCGAAGGCTTGGTAACAAAAGGAGCCACCTGAATTACCTCTCATGATCATCTAGGCACGCGGCGCATTTTACCACTCTTTCAGCATGTATTTCCTGCCAGGGCACACCACACACTGGTAACAATGTCTTGTCGACCTAAGGCCCAGTTTCATCATCAGGACTGGGTTCGCATTGATCAAAGCTTACATATGGACACTAGCCAAGACAATTTGTCGGTAGGAGTACCTTGTGGGGCCGCTTGGTAAGCGCGCCCCTCGGTCGTACCACTAATGATTTTAGGGGACAGGATGGTTGGGGCCTGTCAGGGAACAAATTAGATCGCAATAACCCCGTAGAATAAAAAAGTTACGAGGGTAATTACGGGGCGCGTACTCAAACCTCGGGCGGGGACACTGAAGTACGCCTTTATATAATCGCTAACTCTCACCCACTGGACCAACGGCGAGCGCTTGTATTTAGGGGGTGTGCCCTAACCTCGGGCGAGGCCATTGAGGTACGTTTACTAGTAGTACCACTAGCTCCAACTAGAATAAAGGTTAAAGAGTGCAGAAGTTGGAAGACGGTAGAATTCACCCTACTTAAAAGTTGTAAGTAAGCGTTTATTCCCGTGGTTAATTTGGAAAGCCATTTTTGCTTAATTTACTGACTTAAGCGGTTAATGTATGCGGTGGCCTTCTAAGGACCGCTTTGTAGTTCAATGCTATTATCCAATCCCTACTGGGTCGACGGCCGGCGTGGAGAAGACGGGAAGATTGTGGGTGATTCAACTTACTTAACACTTG